TTAACGGAACTTGCAAAAGATGTTTTATTAGGAGCGCTTAATAAGGAACTTGAAGTTTATGCCAAAAGACTTGATGACCGCATTTGTGAATTACGGGTAAATGGTATTACGGCTCATTTTGCGAATTTTTTTGACCTTAGTGAGTTTAATGGCATAGCAAATGAAGCAAATAAACACCTCAAGGATGCTGAAGAAATGCCCTTTAAATCAAGACTGGATGAAATGTGTAATATCGCAAATATTAACCTTGCAATTATTGATATGCTCGCTGGATCAGAAGAAATTAGTCGAGCTAGAACAACTATTAAGGAAGTTCGAAATTCAATAAATGCTAATTATCAATTTGTTGGTACTGTGGAAACACGTCTTGAAGTTTTGGAAGATTTTTTGTGGAAATTGTTGTTACGATTTAGTATATATAAATTGGAAGAAATTGTATTGTTGGCATTTAAATAATGAAGTTTTATTCGACTGTAAATGAATATCATTAATATTAATATTAACAAGTATTAATTAATAATGTTACAAATTGAATGATTAATGCCACCGTTAAGAAAAATGTGAAATGGTTAAAACTAATGATTTCTTAGTTATGAACATAACTTACTAAAATAAACCTGTCAAATCTTTCTGTTCATTTTGTCAATTAATGATATATATTTATTACATTTTAATTCAGAAACATTATATTAATATTAGGCAAGCTATACATTTAAACAATATATATGAATTGATTCATGAACTGCTAATTCAGATATCTTTTCTGAAAATCGTTTTGCGAATTAGAATATTTATAATCTTGCGGATATTTTTTGCAGATAACTACACAATTATTCCAAAAAAATATTCAAAGAGATTTATAGTAATTGACATTGACTCAAAATTGCTTTTTTACATTATGGTCCTTTTCTATTAAAAAGCCCCATGAATATAATAAATAATAAATTATCTTCGTGTTCCAATTTAATTGGTGGCAATCTAAACGATCCAACATAAATGCTTTGAATTATGGGATATACAGTACTTAAAGTAAATATCGTATTGAACCTTAAGCAAACTTTTCGGTACACACTTGTTATTATCAATTTTAAGTTATTTGTGTTGTCAGAAAATAATTTTATTTGATCTATGAAGATAATAGTAATAATAATAATAATAACAATTTATTCGATTTTTCTATAGTTGTCATTATTTGAATCATTAGATTCTTGCTCCTCAAAAGACTCTACCAGTTTGTTCAAGGGATTCTCATCCGAAGCATCAAGTTCTTCTATGTGCTGATTGCCTATTTCTAAAAGGGTTGAAATATTATTGATATCATCAAATTTCAATGGCTCTTCAAACCAAACTTGCCATCGCTGATATTTATTTCCCAAATTAGTATACAATTGTTTATTAGTGTTGTCTTCTTGTGTAGGAGACATTGCATTATGAAGATTCTGTTCCCAAAAAAGTTGACCGTGGTATAGATCTGGATTGAAAGGATCCGGTATATAGCTCCCTGTACCCATTGAAAGCATAAAAATCTTTTCCCTAGCAACATTGTATCGAATAGCTTCATTGTAAGCTTCCATTGCAGGATTATTAAGATGTAATCCGCCATCTAGAAAAACACCCTTATCATTTATGTTGTGGGGTGGAAAAAAATATGGTGCAGCTGTTGTTGCCATTAAAGCATTAACAAAAGTATCATTTCTTGACTCATCCTTAAGTGCATCAAAATGTGTAAATAAATGCGAGTGAGTAAGGTTACCTTCTTTTCTTGCTGCAGGGATAACCAATTGAGTAAGTGCACAATCTAAACGAGCATCACCAAAATCCTTCTTAAACATTGAAAGACGACCTTCATTGTTATATTTTGTTGTTGTATTTAGTTTGAAGTAACCCATAAGTGAATTATCTGAAGCAAATAAATTTTTTGCATTATTCTGATAAAAATCTAATAAAGATGAAGCTGAGAATAATGGTTCAAACTCTGAATATTTGTATCCAGATGATTCTGTCAATTCTGTTGAGACTTGATGCCAGGATGGTGCTGATAGTCCAGCAGCAATAATCCCACCTGTGGATGTTCCAGATATCATGTTAAATAGATGAGAAATGGGTCTATGGGCACGATATTCTAGTTCACTGAGCCA